GGGGGGCCCCGCCCCCCCGCCCGCGGAGCCGAGCCGGGAGCAGGAGCCCTCGGACACCCTTGGCTGGGGGACGTATGGCAAGGAGGGGTTCAGGAGATTAACCCCAGCCTTTGCCGTCGCCTTGTGTCGTGTGCGCTCAGGTGAAGTGCAGCCCCCTGTCCCCAGCCCCACGGTCTGCTCGCAGCCATGCTCCACTCTCCGCTGAAAACAGCGTTGGCATATGAGTGTTTCCAAGACCAGGCCAGCTCTACGCTGGCTCTGCCCTCGGACCACAAGCTGAAAACTAAGGGCACGGGCAAACAGCGGGTCCAAGAGCAAGTGATGATGACGGTGAAGAGGCAGAAGCAAAAGTCATCCGTGTCGTCGAGCGTGGGACACTCCAACCGAGGTAAAACCCCACTGTGCTCTGGACAGCAAGGGGCTCCCCTCTGGGGACAGAGCAGATGCTATGGGGTGCTTCTATGGGGTTTTGTTTGCGAGGGACAGACTGGTTTGCATTTCTCACAGGTTATCCAGGGGATGCTGAGGTCTTTTGCACTGGATGGAAGGGTTAGAGCTGGATGCGTTGACTCCCTCCCAGTGGAGCTCACCTCCCAGGAGTGCTGCGCTGCTCCGCATCCTGGAGGCACTTGGACATTTCAGGGTGGTGCTATTCAATAGTTGCCCCCTGGCTCTAAAGGAGGATCTGCAGATCCTTCCTCTGCAAATGCCCCCGTGGTTGGAATCCTCCACCAGCCCCATCCCCTCCCATGGATGGTCAAAGCCACCCACTGTGCTATGGGGCCAGGAGCTGGCCACGAGCAGGGGCTCAGCTGTCTCCTGAGCATTGGGCAGCTCCGCCTGCGCCCAGGACACTGACCTGAGCTTGGGATTTGCCTCTGAAGCTCCCAGCGCATGTCCCATTTGTAGAGCGAGAAGTGTGGGAGCCTCCAGGACACCCCGGTGTGAGTGGTAGGAAGGAGATGAGTTAGGAGGAGCGTTGTCCTTTTCTTACTACAGCGGCTTGCATTTTGGTTCAGTTGGAACATTTCCATTTTGCAGATGGGTTGAAAGGGGTGTCAGGGTGCGGGCAGCCAGTCCACCTCTGTGCACTGAGTCTGTGCCTTTGAAGACGAGTAGTCTTCTGAGTCCTGGAGCCGGGTTTCCTGCAGGAACACCTTCCTCTTGGGGTCAAGGCTTGGCAGATTGTTTTCTTTGCTGTCCTTGTGCCCACAGAAAGCAGACTGGGAGGTAAACCCCAGCTTTTCCCATCCCGGAGCTGCAAACCCAGAGGGCTGTGACAGCCACAGTGCAAAACCTCCCGGCTCTTGGAGGTGCTTTTCCCAGCAGCTGCAGTGAGCTCACTGCCCTGGCTCAGTTCACAGGGAAGAGGAATTCCCAAGGCTTTGGGGGACAGGGGGGTGCTGTGGCTGGGACCGAACCGTTCAGCCACATCTGGAGTGGGCAGCATGTAGAGGGGTGTTTGCTGGGATGCTGGGTGAGCTGGGCCAGTCTCTGCCACCTCTTTTGGGGACTATGGCTTGCCCCACAGCTATTCCAAGCTGGATCATGAGGCTGAATCCAGTGCTGATGAAGTGGAATGGTGCAGACACACGTTCTGAGCTGGTTTACCAAGAGAAGTGGGGGCAGCACTAGGCTGCGGTTGAGGTGGTGCTGCCCTTGGAGCCATCCTGGCTGTGTGCATTGCAATTCTTACAATGGAGGGAATAGAGCAGCTTCACAGTGGGTGACGTGGATGCAGCGACACTGCCAGGAACAAATCCCTGCTTTCTCTTTATTTGTGTGCTTGTGGACGTAGACTCCCAGGGGTACGTGGGGGACAGGGCAAGGAGAACTTTCTCCTGCCACCAAAATGGAAGATGCAAATCTCCTCCTGCCTCAGGAGGGTTTATTGCTTGAGGTGCTGTGGTGCCAGACCTGACAAAATAAACTACAAACCAGGATGAGATGAGAGGCTCTGGATGGGGACTGGGCTACTGCCTTTCCAGCAGAGGGGTATTTCCAGGGGAAGCAGGCAGAGAGATGTCTCCCACTGCTGCCCATAACACGAAGGAAGGGAGGCAAAGGGGGATTGTTCCTCTTGGAGACAATCCCAGGTGAAACCTCTGGGAAAGGGGAAAACCCAAAGAGGCGAATTCTTAAGCTGCCCATCTCGGCTCGAGGCTGAAGGTAAATCCCTCCTCCAGACACTGCTGGAAATGCCTGGGAATGGGAATTGCGTGGAAACGTGCAGCTCTGGTTTCTGTGTCCCAGGGAAGCTGAGTCACATCCAGCTCCCAGGAACTGCCTCCAAACATGGGGCTGAGGCCGCCTCATTCCCACCGCGGGGAGGTTGGTCGGTGGGAAGGTCCTGGTGGCTGCACTCGGTGCATTCCCGGATAGAATCCCAAAGCAGCTGCCATTTATTCTCAGTGTTTTCTCCTGGGCTGAAGCCTGAGTGGGTCAACTTTCAGGTATAGCTGCTGGTACAGAGGTTAGCTGAGCAGACCTAATAAGAAGCACTAATGTCTCCTACCAACAGGCTACATGGGGCTGTAGCCAACTGTGGATGTGTTTGTCCAAATGCTCTTCCAGTCCCAGCTACCCGCATCCCTCCATGATTTCTCAGAGATGCTCCTCAAAGGCAGCACAAGCTGGGGAATTCACAAAGCCCCTTGAAGAATGTTCAGGTCCTTTGTTCCCCCTGCACCCAGGCAGTTTCCTGCATGTGTCTGCTCAGGTGCTGGTCCACATCCAGCCGCCTGTTGCTGCATTTTGATCTGTGGATTGGGCAGGAACTGAAGCATAACGCAGAGCTTCCCTCAGCTTCAGGGACATGTGTGCTTCTCTGTGTAGGGTGGGAGCATGGATATGGACCCCTCCTGCATGTAGCAGGGATGGGCACTGTTGTATCCCATAACTGGAGTTTCTTTAGAGGGTCGACAGACGTTCCCACAATGTCCTGTTAATTGATGGATACATAAAATTACTTGGTTATTTGGAGCCCACCAGATCAAGGTGATGTGGCCACTCTCTGATGATCTGGTGTCACTCAATACGTGGCAGAAGCCACAGCAGGGAAGGTGATCTATCTGGGCTCAAACTGGTGTGCACTGGGCTGGGGCAGTGAGCAGAAACCAGCCACAAGCAGCATAATCCTGCACCCACAGCGGGGCCTTTTCTCAGCAGAGCAGCTATGGGTGTTCTCAAGGATGGGTGCAGAGTTTTGGGTCTGTGGAGTCTGCCATCCTTGGGTTTGGGTCTTTGGCCTCTGTCCTAGGGTGTATCTGCCCTTCTCACCATGAGAATAGCTCACTGGATGGCTCCCTCTGAATTTGTGAGTCATGCAAATTTCCAGGGAAAATGAATTCCAGTGGCAAGAGACAAGGCCAGGCCAAGCTGAAAAAGCTCCTCACAGCCAACAGCACTAGTCTGCAAAGTCCTCTGGCTAAAGAGGAGTTTTGCCAATAACTCATCACTGGCTGGGAGGGTATATCAGGGAGAAAAGACCTGAGGAAACCCAACCAGGGTCCATCATATCCAACTGCCTCACAGCTGAGCTATGATTTAGATGTTTGTTATGCTGGCATGGCTGAGAGGGGAGAAATCCCACCTAGCTCTAGTAGGATCCCACTTAGCTCTAAGGCAGGGTCGTTACTCTGATATGAAGAGGAGATTTGGGGGATAGTAAGCGTTTTAAAGACTTCTGGCTTGAGATGGTTTAGCGAAAGCCATCCACTGTTCCGTAAACCTTAGATTATCGGTATAGAAACAATACTAAACCCCTTTAGCTCATAGGCCAGAAGGCAGAAACGAAGTTGGGTCATTCCTGCAAGAATCTCAGCTTCTGGAACTTCACTGACACTTCTCACCTGTGAGGCATCCAGGCTTTGCTTTGTGTCTCCCACAGGCCTTCTTCTCTTACTATGCCTTTTCTATGTTTAATCATCTTTACTGTTTTAAAGCCGTGCATAGTTTATTATTTAACTTGTTTAGCCTGCACTACCAGTGACTGGTTCTTGTCTTGCCTTTCCCTGTCATAGATTAATATTTATTAATGTGCATCCATTTCCACAATGCTCCCTGTTAGCTCTATGTGTCCTCTGAAGTCTTACACTGTCATGCTGGGAAAATGGCATTTAATTCTTCTCCTTGCCATCAGTCTCTTAGCTTCAAGGGGTGTAAAGCTGCCTTTGAAGAAAGTAAATAACTCATCAAGGACAGGCATATTGGGTTAGATGGAAGTGTCAGTTTGCTCTTCAATGATCGATAACAGCTATAGGGAGGAGGAGGAGGTCAAGGCTCACAGTGAGCAAGTGCCACATCTTGCAATCCTGCCCCGTTGTAGTTAGTTTTTACCCTCATGAACTGTCCCACTGAAGTTCAATGAGAGTTTAAACTGATCAGGTTTGGAAGGAAATGCCTTGGGTGAATGACAGTTTGGGGGGATTGGGAGAGAGGGGTCACATCAACAGCCCAGCCAATACCTGAGCAGCCCTCGGCAGTGTCTTCTGTCCACAAGCATGGTCATTGGGAGGCTGTGCTTCATCTGGGTGATTCTCATCCATGTCTTTTCTGCCTCTGTCCTACCTGTTATCTACTACTAATACAGTGGTTTTAATTGTCTCTGCGTTTGTCCAAGGTCATTTCAGAACCTGAACTTCTTGGATGACAACAAATGGGGCTCAGGGACATAGCTACAAAAAAGCACCACAGAGGCCTCTCCCCCAAATAGCATTTCCACAAATGCTTTGTTCAGGAGATAGTCTGTTTTTATCCAGATTCTCAGGACCTGTGAGCAGTTTGTATGGTTTTTACCCTTGAGGTGGTTGAAAAGAAGAATATCCTTCCTTGCCCCAAGGGCTGGTGATACACCTTCAAGGTGGCTCTCAAGATGAACCAGGCAGAGAAGTGTCTAACGTTGCAGGGCTAAACAAATAATGATGTTTTCTTAGCTAACTCCATCAGAAAATCCCCAGGTTCCTCTTGGCCTTCAGACTGAGCTCTCCAAGCAATAAACCACAGTTGTGTGGTAGCAGGAGAAGCACCTTCTCCAGCCAGCAAAGCGGCTTCAAAATGCCTTGAACATTTGAGGTTATGTATAATTATGTATTTATAAGCTCTCATATACAAGTTCTTGGAGGTGAAGGCAACTCTTCAACCACTGAAGAACATAAACTTGCATGAACCGCCTGCTCTCTTGAGCAATGTAGCAGTGAATTCATACAAGAAATGTGCCTAAACTGGCTTATTTTTGGTGTCTCCTTACTCAACCCCAAAATCTTGAGTGCAGTGCATGGCAAGAATGGATCCTGAAAGGAAAAGCATGGTCCCCAGGGACGACTGGTCAGATTAACCTGTGATTCATGTCCAGAAACCCTTACTTCCAATTTGCTGTCAGGAAAGTGCTCCCAAGCGCTCCCACCTGCAGTTCCATGATGTTCCTACAGAACAAGAGGTTGACTGTAAGAAGGAATACCCAGAAACTGTTACCACGAGATTGTCTTATCTTTGTGCTCAGAACTATGGCTATTGGTTAATTCTGTCTCCTGATGAATCACTTGGCCCAAACTTATCATTTCAAGCCCTGTCTTGCTTCTGCTGAAGCCCAGCAGTAATGTCCTGGTCTGGAGTTCCCAGGAAATGTCAGGGTGGTGAGGGAAGCACAAGCTGAAGGGCACAGCTGAATTGTATCTCCAGTTGCATGTCAATGGCCATTTCCTTGCCCTATCAGCAAGTTCTGTGCAACTTAAGATATATGAAGATATCTATCATTAAGATATATGAAAATCTGTATCTTAATATGAAGATATATCTTGATAGATCTCTCAGGGCTGGAGAGATATTAACAGGGAACAATGCCCACCACGTCTTTAGACTAAGGGCAACAAGATCCTGTGGTTTTCTGCACAAGTATATGTCTGTGAAACTACTCTGCTGTTGGTTATTCTGCATGCAGTGGTGTTCTTCAGACACTGCTGTCCATGCAGCCTTGCTCTTCTCTTGTTGACAATAGAAAGCAAATCTCATTATTTGTACCACATCTGCAGGAATCATCTTCCTGAGAAAATGCAAGAATTTTTAGCCACAAACCAAATCACCATAACAGGTTCTGGATGCCCCAGGCCAGGCAATAAACTAGATTTATTCCAAGGATCAGTGGCTGTAGAAGACCTGAGTGGCTTCAGGGCCTTTGTGGTCGAGCTTATCCAGTTTATCTAAGAGATGAGTCTTATCAAACAATCAGAGAGATTAGGATATTTCTGACATTACCCACCAGTTTAGGTGCATAACTTAAGACAGGTACATCCTGATTTTGTACTTCGTTAGACATTCAGAGCTTCCCCTGGAAGTTAATTGGAGTGTAGGGTTTGCACTTCCTCATAACGGGACTTGGGATGCCACAATTATTGAGCACTTCTGAAAACGAAACTTAAATGACCTTAAACTCTTTTGGACCATCTGAAAGGGGTGAAGGGAATTCTAGCATGGGAAGAGAATGACTCACTTCACTTTTTTCTTCTAGTGATGAATGTAGCACTGAGTAAAATACTTTCAGGAGGTATCCAAGGATTGCATTTCCAAAGCACTGGTGAGAGACAGCTGGAAGAGCTTTTAGTAGGGCTGGGATAGGTAAATCCAAACACTGAATAAAGCACTGAGAAATAGCGCAAATGGCTCCCAATCCAAGGTATCTGCATCTTTACAGAACATGTCTGAGATCTGGTCTCACGTATCTCCCCAGCACCTCAAAGACAATGAAGGACCTTAATACATTTTCAGAAGAAGAAAGTACAAGTACACAGAGTGATCTTTCAGAGACTGGAGATTGAAATTTAAGGCAGTGAAATTAGAGGTTTTTTAGTGTTTGACTATTTCAGATCCCCAGATGTTAAATAGACTTGACCATCATTTACCCGTCGTGTTAGTTATTTACTATTTATTGAGCCTTGCTCAGGTTGCTTGTGCTGATGTGGTTGTTTGTTAGTATTCAGACCAGGAAACCCAGGCTGGTGAAAGGCTCTGGGGTGGGTTTTGCCTTCAGAGAAGAGGCAGATTTTATTTACCTCCAAGTCAGAATAAGGGAAGAATGTTCCCGGTTCAGACCTTCCAGGATGTGTAGCACAAACTATCATCCAGTTCCTTTCATATAGCAAAGACCTAAGACGTTGGGCCATTCTCTGACCTTGTCCACTGTAGATCTTATGGCACTCGGTCGTTTGTGCTGAAGACCTTAGGCTGTTGCTTGTGGTCTGAGGACTGGAATTTCCAAGAGCTCATTTGAAATAAACATCATCTATGAGTTGTCTGTGATGGCAATGGTGCAACTTACTGTTTCCTGTGTTCCTGTTAAGGTTTCTACCTCTGTTATCTTCAGGAGCTAAACCCACTGGTGCAAAGAGCGCTGTGCTCTGAAGGAGTGCCTGCTGGGACTGCTTTCTCCTGCTGACCATGCTTTTTTCACTTACAGGTTCCATGTATGATGGTTTAGCTGATGGTTATGGCTATGGGACATCCCGGGGCAGCTATTACACCAAAACCCAAACAGGAAACAGCAACTGGGGATATCCGGTAAGATACTCTTTTATCTGGGAACTGTGGCATACTCTTGAGGTAACCTGTGCAGAAAGCACCCTCTAGCCAGAACAATCATGTAGCAGGGTCACAGCACTTCAGAAGCTTGCCTGAGAGAGATTATGCATGGCTATGTCTGTCTTAGTAATTCAGTGCAATGGAAGAGGATGATTGAGGACCCTATATATATGTTGTATGTGATTGAGGATTTTAGTGTGGACAAGGTCTAGTTTGGTTTTGTGGATTAATATCCACATGGCACAAGAGGTTTGAAGCTTTCTGTAGGGTCAGTCATGGGTTCAGAGTCTTACAACTCAGTTCAAGTTTGGAGCACATCCATTGCCCACCTGCAAGAGTGTCTATTTCTGTTTCCATGTACCAAAATTCCTATGTGACTGACACCAATGTGGTTGAGTAGTGATGATCAGGGGATTTGCATTACAACTGTGTTGCTATTCCCAATTGCAAAGCCAGTGCAGACCCTTTGCAGATATTCTCTGAGCTTGGAAAAGAGGTGGTCCACTACTCCCATAGTGATTCCGAAGAAAATATTGCAGATTGCCAGAAAAAGCACAGGGGATATTGCACTTGTCTTTGTGCAGTCTTGAGTTTATACAGCCCACAGAGGTCCTGGTCTTGTCCTTGGTGACAGACTCCTGTTACAGTGGAATAACTCCAAACCACTCCAAAGTCTACTAGGAAACTTGTGCTGGTGTTGCTTCTCCACCTCGGACCTGTATTCTGTTCTTCCTTGGTTTTCATTAGCTATAAAGTAGAAAGAAGCAATGCACAGATCTGGGATTTGAATATGGGTAGAAGAAAGGGCTTCCTTCAACAACTCTGGGGCTGTAAAGCAGCTTCCTGTCAACCATCAAAGGGTTGAACCAGGAAGAGTGCTTACGTTCGATTTGAGCGCATAGAGGGTTGAAGCTGCTCCTGGTAGTTGCCAGGTTCTCTGCCTATTCACAGCATTCTTCAGCTTCCAAAAGATTTATATGTTGTCTTTCCTGATGGCCTTGGTGTAGCATGCTTGCTTCAGTGCAGTGACATTGCTTGCTAGGTTTGCATCACTGGATTTGCTGCCTGCTGCATGTTCAGTAGGAAAGACTCGGAGCATTGGCTTTGGAAACTTCTATTTACAGGCTGCCTGATGACTTGTTTCAGTGTCCTTTGCTGAGCTGGTTAAAACCAGACAGTGGTGTTTCTGCCCAGTGTAAGACCAAAAGGGTGCCTATGATGGGTCAGAGCAGAGGTCCAGCCAGCCACGTGTCCTGTCTCCATCACTAAGGCAGAGCTGGGCCACTTCAGAATGGTCTAAGCATGGCAAACAGAGTGGTTTTGTGGCCAGAGAGTTGCAACCAAGAGACCTCCTGAGCTAGAAGTGGAGACTCTGAGCTTCATAAGTCGAATGATTGTCCCTGCCCATGGTACGGGGGTAGGAACTGGATGGATTTAAGGTCCTTTCCATCCCAAACCATTCTATGATTCTGTGATTATGATGTTTTGGTTCAATGATACATTGCTGTTTTTCTATATTGTAATTCCTGAATGGAGTTTATTATGCTTTGTCCAAGCAAAACTGCTCTGACCCAACCATTCCAGAAGTTTCTAGGTGTTGGGGGTTTATTGTTAGAAAGGAAGCTAAGCCCTAGCTCTGCATTTGCCCCTCCAGCTCATGCTCATGCTGGCAAGGTGGTACTGCAGCTAGTGTTGCTGATGTGAGGATTATTGCTTAATTTTGTTCACTCCTGATCTTCTCCCCAATCATTACAACAGAGGCACAAATGGAGGTGGTTAGAAATGCCACTGGCTGCTGGGGGTTTCAGTCCAGCAATGTCGGTGTTCTGGGGAACAGCTTGCAAGATGATTATGAAGATCAGGGCCTCTGTTAGACACTATGGACACAGCAATTCAGTCACTCCTGGTTCACCAGGGACTTACGTAGCTCATGGCTTTTAACTGAAGGGTTCTTCTGCATTTGCCATTGAGGGAAGGTCTTTCTCCAAACCTAAGTGTCTCACAAGCCTTTCATCCTAGAAATTTCTGGTAAAGGTATTCAGGACCTGGGTTACTTTAGAAAAAGGGACTGGGGCTTGTGAAGGATTCACAGTAAAAAGTGTCTTACCTAACTGTGTCTATCTGAAAATCAGCCATTTAGTCTTAACAAGTAGTCTAGACTCCTCCCATAGCCAACAAAGAGAGAGGTACGAGGAGGTGATTCATCTCCTCTATCTTGGAGATCTGTCAGGTCAGGATGAATCAGCCCCTCTGGATGCCTATCTCCTTCCACTGGTAGCTGGATCAGAGCAGTCACCTAACAGGTAGATGGCTGCAGTTAGGGGCGATGAGTCCCAAGTGCCATTGGCACATTGGAACATATAACCTCAAGCCTAAATCTGCTTAACAAGCTTAACAGACATCATACTCCCCAACCACACTGAGGAACCTCCTCCATTTTGCTTCTTCCAGAAGAGTATTACAGGTTTACACACATCCACGACCAACCTCCAGCTTGGGTTAACATGAACTTTTGTCTACAGACCTGTTTGAAGTCTGTGCAGGTTCCTGGGTTGTAAGACATGGAAACAAAGATAAAGCAAATCAGTGTTTGAAGAGGACATTGCTGCTCTTCTTTCCAGCTGGAGCTGGCGCTGTCAATGTTTCTGAGGAGTCGCAAAGTCCTTTGAGATACACAAGCAAATTCATATATTTCAGGGAAATGACCCAGTATAGTGTTCAGAAAAATTACTTTTAGTACTTCTGGAGTCAAAAAGGTGTGACAGACAATCCATATCCATGTTGCTGCTCCATAGCATTGCAACTTAGACACTGCTCTTAGACTGCCTTAATCTAAAGCATTGCCTTAGATGGTGACTGAGTGTCAGAAGGTATCCTGTCTCACCCACAGCTCTTAAAGACTAGTATTCCTGACTTCCTCCTTTTGATTTGTTTTGTGTCTTCTTGGAAATCTCAAGCTTTTTGCTTTGGAGTTTTCTTCCCAACCTTATGATACTAATGTTCAAATATTAGAGCAAATGAAATGATAGCTCTGGAGGGAGCTGAGCTCTCTCTGGCTCAGTCAGCACTTCTGACTGAAGTCTCTGATTTACAAAGACTACTTTGTGTTTATTCCTCTTGCGGGGTTTCATCATCTCTATAACTAAGCATTGCAATGAGTTGTTATCAGTGTAGGTAACACTGAAAGCAGTGGGACCACTCCAGGAACAGGCTCTCTGAGGGCAGCAGGTTTGCACTTGGCTGCAGTGTTTCCTTGGTTCATGTGTCAGGGGTTGGCTCAGCCTTCAGGCATGAAGTGCCCAGTCCCATCTGCACAGTGACCACAGTGAGAATCAGTAATGGGGACATGAGCGACTGCAAAGCTCTCTGTGTTGGGTGCTGTTGAACCCAGAAGACCCTTAGAGACATTTGTCACCCTACTGATGATGTGAGTTATGACCAGTTGCCAAAGCCATCCAACTACAGGAGCTGGCTATGCCACCTCCTGATGTAAGGCCTGAACAGTGCCTGAGGTCCCACAGTAGGTACAGTGTGACCACAGTTTACACTGGCAAACCCGAGGGAGGTTTAAGAAATCTAAACTGGACACCTAGAGCGTTGCAGTCATGGCAGAAGTCTCAGCGTGAACTGTATCCTTGACTCTGACACCTCAACGCCACCCCAAAAATGGGATTTCTTCAGCACTGGGCTCAGAGCCATGGTCACAGTCTGATGGCCTTGGGTTGCAGCAAGTGTGCTGTTCACCCCAAGTGCAGGCGCAGCCAAATCCCACCTGCTGGAAACTACTGGAATGGCTGGAACCCCAAGGGAAGGCAGTATGTGGAGCCAGGATGTACGCCACCAGCAAAGGCCTTCTGAGGCTTAATTCCCACCTGCAGCAATACTGGACCTTCAAAACGCATTTAGTCCAAACCCCCTGCAATGAGCAGGGACATCTTCATCTAGATCTAGACCAGAACCACATTCAGCCTGGCCTTGAATGTCTCAAAGGTTGGTGCATCCACCACCTCTCTGGGCAACCTGGGCCAGTGTTTTACCACCCTCATTGTAAGGAATTCTTTCCTCACATCCAGCCTGAATCTCCCTCTTTTAGTTTAAAACCATCACCCCTCATCCTGTCACAACGGGACCTGCTAAAATGTCCCTCCCCATCTTTCTTATAGGTCCCTTTAAGAACTGAAAGGCCACAATAAGTTCCCCCTGGGGTCTTTTCTTCTCGAGGCTGAACAACCCCAACTCTCTCAGTCTTTCCTCACAGGAGAGGTGCTCCATCCATCTGATCATTCCTGTGGCCCTTCTCTGGACCTTATCCAACAGTTCCATGTTTTTCCTGTACTGAGGACTGCAGAGCTGGACACAGTACTCAAGGTGTCTGATGTCTCCAGGCTTGTCTGATGCTGTCCTTATTAAAGCAGTTAGAACTGAGTTGGATCCTGGCACATAAAAGCCAGGGGTCAGTGGCTAGTAGGCTACCAGTGCTCACCACTGCGTTCCTCAGCCATCGCTGCTGGTGTCTTGGGCTCTTCTGCACTGGCCACCCAGCTTGGTTTCTGTTTAGTGCCGTTATGGCACTAATGAAAAACACACTTCGGTGATCCCTCTGCACTAGAAACCTTATGTAGATCCTTAAACAAATGTCCTCTATGGGAGAAAGTTGCAGAGCTTTCTCTCCCAAATGCATTATCTGCACGAGAGGTGTTCTCCACGAGAAGGAAACGCTCCTTGCCATCCCTCGCTGACTTTGCCTCTGTGGACAAAGATGTCTCATCATCAGTGGGAGCTTGTTCCATAAGGATTCCAGGAGAAAATTCGTCATTTGCTGAGATGACACATTCAAGTTTAAAAGAATCTCCAAAACAGAATGGTTTGGGCAATCTTATCAAAGACAACAGAGATTTATAGTTGTTGCACATCACTGCTTGGTAAGACCCTCACCTCCGTGTGAGGTTTTGCAAGAGGGTTTATGCTTTAGAGTAACA